GAGGACAAAAACAGGAATTTGGTGGGCTGGAGTTAAGGTCATTTGGGTGAATTTTTTACCTTGCCATTTCTTGATTTCAGAACTTCATCTCAAATACAGAGATTTCCTGCTTCTCATATATATATATATAAATAAAAATTTAAAAATTCCTGCTTGCTGGTGGATAGATGCTTACTTGCATAATTCCAACTTTTGTCTATTGTAAGTTTGTGTGTTAGAAGTATAAATGTATAGTGAATTTTTCTATAATGAAAATTGTAAATCACTGCTTATTAAAAGACTACTTTCATTAAAATTTTTGGCTAATATTTGTGATCTTGTAGTGCATATGCATATTTATTTAATGAATTACTGTCTGACTCAAGGGCTTAAATTGTTTCACTTTCCAGTGAATAGCCTGCAATTTTTATTTAATAATGTATTAATAACTGGAAGGTAGGAAAATTGGAGCACTCTGGTAACCTTATTGAAAGAAATGTAATTAAATGACTTCTAGTCATTTACTAGTATTACTAGTTATGTACTAGACTAGTATTACTCTGATTATTTTGACAATGCTGTTTCAGTTTCTGCAGTGGCAGTTTTTTATACTGTGTCTGTGTGTGTGTGTGTATGTAGTGGCAGTTGATAATCTGCCTGTAAAGCATGAAGTGAGAAAGGTCCTAGTCAGTGGGGTGGTACTGCGTTATCGTACTTCGTTGTGGTAGACCTGTTCAGAGCTATAGGAATTGAAAGGTTTTGCCCCATCACTGGCGTGGCGACAGCGTGGACCCTGACTGTGCAGTGTGCCAGTCACGGAACAAGACTTGGAGTCTTCTGTTAAATGCTTATTTACCAGTCTGAACTTTTTGCTTTTTATTGTTCGCTCCCAGCTAAGGGAAGTGTTTATTTTGTGTAGTTCCTGTCTAGCTTCCAACATAGTAACGTTTCTCACACAAAAGCCATGTCATTGTGCCAGAATTGTGCTGACTCTTTTAAAGTTCAAGATTCCATCTAATATTTTTCTGAACTGGCTTGCTTATTTTTTTGTGTTCTATTAACTTTATTTTGGAGTTTAACAAACTTATTCTTGGCAGGAGAAGATGAAGTTAAGCCAGATGTAGTTTAAAACGTCTTGATGTCACAAATAATGAATGAATAGCGTATTTCATTTAAAACAAAAAGCTCATTCTAGTGCATGCCCCTGCCCCCCCCATATTTGTTTATATTTGTGTCACTTATCTCATAATGGAAGTTACAGGAAACAGTCACCTCAGGTGAAACTTACCTGTAGTGTCTTGGCAACTATGAAATGTACTTCTGCCATCATAGATTAATTAATTTGTTAGATCTCCTTTGTGTTAGGTAGTAAAAGCAAATTAATCAAAATTCCTTTAAACACCAGCAAATTCCATCCATCTGCTCATTTCCATTTCTGTAGCAAAAGCTAGTCTGCACAGTAACTTCATTATTAATTACTCTGGAGCATTAGTCTTCAAATTAGTGAAGCAAGGGGGTTGTGTCGCTTAATGATTTGGGAAGTGTAGGGTTAAAAAATTACAGCAAGAAAGTAAAGGTTTGGCAAATAATTATTTCTGTATTTTAAAAATATTTTCAGAAATTGTTTAAAATTTTAGTTTCTTCATTCTTTGTTTTCCCTAAATAATGAACCCAAGAAAGCCTTTGCAAAAAATTTTTCAGAAAGTTTATGAATTGACAGAAACAAGATATATGCATACTGTTTTTCTTGGCATGTTCCAAAGATTCCGCAGTTTCATCAGGACTTAACCCCCTTGTATTTTATTCTAGAACTTAAATATCAGAGTAAACCTGAAATACATGCAGACTGATTGTAAGATGCAGTAATTTGAGGTGAAAATACCTTTGCATAAAATAATATTAAAATAGTTATGTAAATTTAAGAGGTTTCTGAACATACAGATGTTTTTAAGGTACAGTATGAAATTGTTATGCAGGCTATTTTCCTTACTTTTCATTTCTGAAGAGGTGGTTTTCTATATGGAATTTTCAGACATCTGAAAACTGCTAGGTCTTCTTCACAGCTGCCCCATGTTCAGAGGCTCACATTCATTCTAGGATTGAATAAAAACAATCTCTTTTTTTCTTTTGCTTACGTCTGATCAGGGAAGTCTGGTTTTTGGCAAAAATTATTACCACTGGTTAAAAAAGACGATGAGCATTCTGTACGTCAGATTCCATTACAGTACTGTTTCTGAAAGACGTTCAGATTCAGTATTAATGATACCTCTTATCAGTAAATTATAATAGCAAAATTCTGCTTTTTCTATTAAGTTATGTCACAATGTTATTAAATAAAATGTATAGTTTTTATTCCTCTGCGTTATGCTGTGACTAGAATTGGGTTTTTATTATTTAGGAGGCAACAATAAATAAAAGTGTTGAAATAATCTTAAGATGTGATAACTAGACTATAAAAAATTATTAACTTCCTTTGTTGTAAATTAATTCTTTAATTCCTTTGTTGTATACATAGTGTGTCCTATAACCAATGATCCTGAGGACCACAGGAAGGATTTTGTCTTTTACCATCTGCAGGTTTTTTGTTTTGTCCTTCTTTAGATTAACGGAGTTAAAGCCCTTGAGAACACAGGATAGTAATAAAATAAAATAAGAAAATAAAAAAAAGCATTGTAATGTCATAGTAATGTCACAGGAGCAGGGTCAGTCTGTGCTGTTCCACTCTTTTGAGGTACTAGAATTTTTTAAGGGTAAGTCAAATGTTGTGGCAACAGTCCCTTTTATTCGATGTGAAGGTAAATGAGAACGGGCATGACGATGGAGTTTAGGTGGCGGGCTTCAGTTTTTGTGGCTTGAGAGTAAGTAACATTTTTGTGTCCACAGTTTTTGATGTGTGTCACTTGAGAAGGATCAGATGAAGGATGAGAGGTCACTCTCTGTGTACCATCCAGTGCCATGCTGGTTGTCTTCAGCCTAGGCCTAAAGTTCAGTTCACTCTTCTGGATCTTGCTGCTCCTTCCCCTTTAAAGGAGGAAACATGAGCAGTATTTACGTGGTGATGTCACTGCAGAAAAGCATGGTTAAAAAAAAAAGGGAAGGTTTTCCTTCAAATCAAATTGTAAAATTATGACGATCCCCTACATGATTCAAAAAGTTATACCATGGCTGTCCTCTGTTAATATCTGATAGTAAACACAGCTAGGAAGGCAGCAGGAGAGGGAGCCAGTGGTAATTTTTTTTGGAATGCCATGTTAGTAAACAAGTACACTCATGCTAAAGTGCTAAAACAGAGGAACATTGAAGAGCTTTCTTGCCCTTTGAAACAGTAGTGGCATTCACTCAAATGGGGAGTGCTTCGGTGTGATGGCAGAAGGAAGGCAAGGAGGTAATGATGGGTCTAACTGCCATCAGAGCCTGGTAAGAGAATCATAGAGTTGTAGAATGGCATAGACTGGAAGAGACCTTAGAGATCATCTAATCCAACCTCCCTGCCATGGGCAGGGACGCCTCTCAACTAGATCAGGCTACTCAAGGCTCTGTCCAACTTGGCCTTGAACATCTCCAGGGAGAGGGCATCCACAACTTCTCTGGGCAATTTATTCCCACCCTCATACTGAAGAATTTCTTCCTAAGATCTAATCTAAATGCGTTCTCCTTCAACTTAAACCCATTTCCCCTTGTCCTATCAGTGGACACTCTTGTAAAAAGCTCCCCCCCCGCAGCCTTCCTGTAGGTTCCCTTCAGGTATTGGAAGGCAGCTATTAGGTCCTCCCGAAGTCTTCTCTTTTCAAGGCTGAACAATCCCAGCTGCCACAACCTGTCCTTGTAACAGAGCTGCTCCAGCCCCTGGATGATCTTTGTGTCCCTCCTCTGAACACGCTCTCTTATGGTGGGGACACCAGAACTGGATGCAGTATTCGAGGTGGGGTCTCACAAGAGCAGAGTAAAGGGGCAGAATCACCTCGACCTGCTGACCACGCTTCTCTTGATACATCCCCAGGATGCGGTTGGCCTTCTGGGCCGCATGAGCGCACTGCTGAAAAAAGCAGAGCCGTTCAGTCATTGCTGTTGTATAGCAACAGTAATAACTGTAATTTTGACTGGTGTGCTCAAATCAACCCCACAGCCCTGTGGGTCAGCAGGGCTGCTCTCAGTCACTCCACTTGTAGGCCGTTGCTGTTGTCTCAGTAGAGGATGGAATACTGAAACCAGCTTTTTGCTGGAAGCAATAAAGTGAAGCAAAGTGGAAGCCGGTGGGGGGAATAGAGTGCACTGAATTTCAGCTCTCGTTGCAGGAGACAGGAACAAAAATAAAAATGAAAAGACCTACCTACTAGTGATAGTTTTGAACTCAGGCTGTGCCTCTGCACAGCAAACTGACGAGTCTGGAACTGCAAAGGAAGTTCAGACTTCTGCCTGTTTGTTCACAAAAGCAGAAAATTGCTTTATGGCACTAAAAATAAGTCAGGTCATCAATGCTCTGGAAATGTATCTGCTATACTTTGGCTGCTTTTCCCTTTATGTAGTTTAAGAAAGTAAGCTTCAAAATTAGCTTTGAAGGATCAGAGAGAAGGCTTAAAATAGCAGCAGTGAAGAAGTGAGGAGTTCATTAAGTTCCATTTTTATCTTGCATTCTTCCCATCAGACGTTTCACTTTTTGCCTGGGTACATTCTTCCTGTTCCTTCCACTTAGAACAGATGACCATTCTTCAGGTCAGATTATCAGTCTGGTGGTATGGGTAGGTGGCATTTGTGCGGTTTCTGATGATAAGAGGTGTTTGTTCTGCAGCACTGTTTAAACATTTCTTTGAACTCAATTAATTCCTTTGAACGCTGGCATGCATGATTATTTTATGACTCGAGCTTGCATCAGTATTATGATATCCCATTTTTCATACCATGGTAATTAAGGGACAAAGTTCAGTAACATTTCTTCCTACTGATTTTCCTTTGTGTCTGTGTGCTTAAAATGAGAAATAAAGAATAAATAACCGGTCAAAAATCAAAAGCCCTTTTTCCGCATGTACAAGCCGACAGAAACACTTGGGGCATTGGAATCCATCATTGTCGTCTTGTATATACTTATACCATATATCAAATCCATTCCTGAAGGTCTTCGCCTCTTTTTTATAGGTAACGTTCTTTTCTAGTTGATTGAGATCTAGGAACTACAGGTCAATTTGAAGAGTTACTTGAAGAACTTTTTTATTTAAAGAAATTAAAGATATAATCCTTGGTGTTTTTTTTTTTCTCAATGCTGTCATTATTTGCTGATGTCTAGCTGTGTATCAGCTATGTCTTTGGGTATATTATGTGAGTTTTGGAATCTATATTTGGTTCTGTTTGCAAGTATTTCCTCAGCATATTGAGTCCTGCAAATAGTTACTTTTTCTTAGACCAAATAAATTTTAATTGAACATTTGCTCTTTTATGCACAGTCTGTTCCATTTCAAGATTGTGAAGGTTAGCACTAGTTTGATTTTGTATAATAAAAGCATTGGCTTAATTTGCTGTCTCACTGTAGGATTACATTTATTAATTGATTTTAATAAAGAAGTGTAGCTTTTCAAAGTATGTATTTCTGATGGTTCAAAAAAATGTACCTTCTCTTTTTCTCTTTTCAGATTTATCCAAGAATAGATTAACTGAGATTCCTACGGAGTTGTGCCACTTTGTGTCTCTGGAAACACTAAATCTATACCACAATTGTATTAAAATTGTACCAGATGCCATAGTAAACTTGCAAATGCTAACTTACTTAAATTTGAGGTAAGTTTGACTTTGCCACGTTTTCTGTTTATTTGTAAAGCTTTTTTGTCTGCACTTTTTGTGTTTCTGGAACAACTGGAACATTTTTCATTTTATTAGAAGTGATAATGCACTAAGTTGTTGGCTGTAGATATAGCTCTATATGAAGGCATTGTAAAGGCTGAAATGTAAAACTAATTATTTAAAGCAAAAACAAATAATATTAATCCCTTTCTTTATTCTTCTAGCAAATTCAGAATGCTAATCACATCAACACAGTCAGATTCTTTTAATTCCCTTCTGATGATAAATTTTGTGAAACTTGGCATGGTTTTTGTAGTTAAAAAGCTGTATGAGGAGAGACAGAAGACTAAGTTTTTCATGGTTTTTCATGGGGAATGAAGAGGAAAAAGCATGATACTTTATCACTAGTACCCTCTTATTATGCAAGAAGTACAGTTACTGCCATTTTTAGAAGGAAGAGGCAAAGAATTAGGCACCTTTGTCTCTTTTCCATGAAAAATGTATGTGAATACTAATAGGTGTAGAGAGTTGCTTCTAGTTAAAGTGCAGGTGAATGCATATTTGCTTTTGAGATAGGGAGTGGCAGCATTTTTTCAGTTGGGACAAAGTGTGGAGGTTTATTTGCGATTGAGTATGTAAAAACTGTAATAGTGAAGATAAAATAATCTGGTCTTTGCAAGAATGGAGTTTGGGCAGGGGACGAAGTGTCTCTTAGCCTTTTAATTCAAGGTCTGCAGGCTTGATCATCAGTTTTGTAAACACTGAGGATGTTTCTCAAGCCTTCCTGTAGTGTTACTGTACCACAGTTTTAGCCTCTGTGGAACACTAATTTTGACTCTAAACAGAATGATGTATCCTGAGTATCTGCATACGTGTAAGGAGCAGGACTTGAAATTTTGAAATAGTGTTTGTTAGGTATACATAAAGAAATTAAGACTGGATTAAATTACTAAATTTTCATAAAACATCTTAGTAAATTTAGGAATTAGAGTGAACTCGATGTAGTAAACCAGTGAATTAGAACTCAATGTAGTGATGGAATTTGTGTGAATCATCACAAAACCGGAATAGTTACAGAGTTAATATCATGTATCACAGTAAATTAAACAAAACGAGAGGAAATGTTTCAGATTTTACTAAGCAAGATCATTTTCCTCAGTTTAAAATCTCTTCACTTTGATGTACCTATTCCCCATGTTAGTTGAACAAAGTGAGCACTCTGTAGAAGGAGGAAATATATTTTTGACTTTCTAACCATGTTGCTTCTTGGCAAGAAAAATATTGTAGATTTAAAATGCATATTTTTCTGCCTGTTACCAGCAGAGCCCATATGTTAAACAAAATTTGAACGAGATGCCAAGAGATATACGTAGTCTTTGGGCCTTGATGTGGATACTGTTCATGTTTTATTTAAAGAAATTCTTTTAAACTAATGATGATTTATTACTCACTCACTCTGATTATGTGCTGTTCCTATCTCTTAGTGGGTTGCTTCAGAGTTCTGTAGAACTTAAAAATTATTTTTACTTAATTTTTTTTTAGTGTCTGATCTGCTGCGTAGTATAACTTTTTTTGATTCTAGACTTCCTCAATTTGAGTTCTTTAGAACTTAAAAATTTGTTTCTACTTATGTTTTAGAATAAGTTATGTCTTGGTCTTCTGTAAAGATACTGGAATTGAGAATCTTGACTCCACAATAAACATTGATTCTTTTTTCAACTACTGCTTGTTAGTAGCTGGACTTCTCATTTTTAATTTGTTTGTTATTTGATACCTGTCTGTCTCCCAGCCTGTGTAGCAGAGCTATAATCATAGAATCATAGAATGATTTGGGTCCTAAACTATAATGATAGTTTGCTTTGTAAAACATTTTGAGACTGTTGTGTGGAGCACAAATATATGTCTTTATACGCAGTTTTGTAGCAGACCACTGGATTGGGAGTTGAAATGTTTTGGGACTTGTGGAGTTTTGATTTTTGTTTCCTTTTGTTTTGGTTCAGTGTTGCAACTGTTACTGAAGTTACACAGGACAATTTTTGCCATCTGCTATCAGAGTTCTGTCATGCATATTAATTCCCTGGAGCTTTAACAGTCATGCAGAAGCTAACTAAACTGGTTCTTACTGGGGTGCCACTTCAAGTTATTGTTCATTGTTTTCCTACAGGTTAATACTCATAAAAAAGAAAAAGTTATATGTTAAGAAAACCTTCAAATATTTTATGAAAGACAGTAGTTAATATATTACTCTGTTGAGCTTAAAGTTTATTTTGGGAACTGATCCACAAATCACAAGAAATTAATATTTTTAATCATCTGGAGATCGCAAAGGGTTATGGCATCTGTCATCTTTGAGTTTTAGCTTCTTGAGTAATTGTTACTAGAATGAGAACCTAAATATCTTGAAAGTTTTCTACCAAATTTTGCTTTTCCTTGCAAATCTTCCTGAAAATCTTCTACTCACTTCTCTCCCCACCGACCCCCCAAATAATGGTATGAAGAATAAAATGGCACATGCCAGTCACTTAAAAAAAAATGTTTTATCAACTTCAGGAAAAAGTAAGATGCAGAGATAATATGGCTCAATATGAGTCTTAGAAAGAAACGAACCGTTGATGCTCCCAGAATTTTTTGCTGTATTTACCTGGGTTAATATCATAGACTCATAGAACAACAAATGCTGAGTAATCTTGAACTATAAGTGAGCTTTAAATGAATTGAAAAAACAACTATTTTATCTGTAGTTTGTTTATTTGTCTTCAGTTGGAACAAAAGACATCCCCTATACTCCCACATAAAACCATAGGGATGTTTAAGTACTTGCAAAATGCTGTCTCAATTGACTTTCCTGTATTCAATAGGGAAGGAAGTAGCTGTTTTGGGTGACAACCACTTATTCCAATATTATTAAACCGATATAATGCATTTTTTCCAGAGTAGTACATTCCACAGTACAATTTAGTCAGTAGTGCAGATATTTTTGATGTGCAAGTGTGTTCTTAATGGTTGCCATTTGAAAATTTAAATTTTATCTGCATAAAATCTAACCCACAAAAATAAAGGAATTTTACAACTCTCAGACTTTATGTGAGTATATGGTGAAACATCACTGGTGATTTTAATGGTTGTTTGTTTTGTTTTGTTTCGTTACAGTCGAAATCAGCTTTCTTCTTTGCCAGCTTGCCTGTGTGGTCTTCCTCTAAAAGTCTTAATTGCAAGTAACAATAAGCTAGGTTCCCTTCCGGATGAGATAGGTCAACTAAAACAATTAATGGAGCTGGTATGTTGCTGACCTTATTTTATTTTTTTTATTTTGACTTTGTACTTAACTAGAAACAGTAACATTCACTTTGCAAATATATTTGAATAAATACCTAATACTATAATGCGGGTTAAAAAATTAACTTTTGAACTTCTCAAGTGTGTTGGGTAGTAACACAGTAATAGTTTCCTTTTGTGTTCTTCAGGACCCTTCTAAACACCACCACTGCTCTTGGTTCATTCAAAACTCGGTTTCCAAGTTCATAATCTCTACCTGTGCTACCCACTCCCTCCACTGGCTCTCTGTTTTGTAGTATCAAGTTCATAGTTCTGGCATCAGGCTCCACAAATCTATATTCCACTCTGTAGCACCCTCCCCTTCGGTTTCCTTTCTCTCTTATTACTGTCTGCTTACCACATTGCATTCTGCTAGTGATATTGGTCTTATCAGCCTGTTTTCATTTTATTTCACAGTTTTTGTTGTGGAACCTTCCTTTCCTTGAACACCCATCTAAACAGATTTACAAAGTTATTATGTTCCTCTTGTTTTGAGAGCTGTCCACATGACTACTGTTTCTGCAAGCTGTAGATCATCTATAATATATTGTCTGGTAATTGAGAATCTGAAAAGGCAATAATTATTTGGTACCTTAACTTAAAATTATTTTAATTGCACATGTTTTTTCAAAGTTTGTGTGTGGAAAATGCATATAAGAGAATGCTTCCCTTTCTCTCCCTGTAGAATGGTTGGAGTTGGAAGGGACCTCAAAGATCCCCCAGTCCCACCCCCCCTGCCACAGGCAGGGACACCTTCCACTAGATCACATTGCTCAGAGCCTCATCCAACCTGGCCTTGAACACTTCCAGGAATTGGGCATCTACAACTTCTCTGGGCAACCTGTTCCAGTGCCTCACCACCCTCACAGTGAAGGATTTCTTCCTTATATCTAATCTAAATCTGCCCTCTTTCAGTTTAAAGCCATTGCCCCTTGTCCTATCACTACACACCCTTGTAAAAAGCCCCTCTCCTGCTTTCTTGTAAGCCCCCTTTAGGTACTGGAAGGCTGCTAGAAGGTCTCCCCAAAGCCTTCTCTTTTTCAGGCTGAACAACCTCAGCTCTCTCAGCATGTCTTCATAGGAGAGGTTTCTTCAGCCCTCGGATCATCTTCCTGGCCCTTCTCTGGATCTGCTCCAACTGATCCATGTCTTTCCACCAGAGCTGAACACAGTACTGTGGGAGTGTCTCACGAGAGCAGAGTAGAGGGGCAGAATCACCTCGCTCGACCTGCTGGCCACACTTCTTTTCATGCAGCCCAGGATGTGGTTGGCTTTCTGGGCAGCTGTGCACATTGCCGGCTCATGTTGAGCTCCTCATCCACCAACACCTACAAGTCCTTCTCCTCAGAGCTGCTCTCAATCCATCCTCCACCCAGCCTGTACTTGTGCTTGCGATTGCCTCGACCTGTGTGCAGGACCTTGCACTTGGCCTTGTTGAACTTCATGAGGTTTGCATAGGCCCACCTCTCCAGCCTGTCCAGGTCCCTCTGGATGGCATCCCTTCCCTCCACTGTGTCAACCACACCACACAGCTTGGTGTCATCAGCAGACTTTCTGAGGGTGCACGCTATCCCACTATCCATGTTGCTGGCAAAGATGTTAAACAGTGCTGGTCCCAATACTGAGCTCTGATGAACACCACTCGTCACTGGTTTCCACTTGGACATTGAGCTGTTGACCATAACTCTTTGAGTGCCACCAATTTCTTATCCACCGAGTGGTCCATCCGTCAAATTCATGTCTCTTCAATTTAGAGACAAGGATGTCGTGTGGGACAGTGTCTTCCTCTGTTGTATATTGTAGGTTGAGACTCTGAATTCTCTATGACATATGATTTATGTCATCCTGTTATTTCTGTTCACCTTGACCTCTGAAGGTATAAATTGACAAATAAACTACATTTGACACTGCTACTTTATGCATACTCAAACAATGATATTTGAATTTTCTTCCAGCTGTTGGTATCTCCATTGATAGCATTCATCTTGCACATCTTTTTGGTATCTGAAAGTGCCTGCTTATCATATTTTTATGTCAGTAGTTTCTCTACTAAATTACATTACAGTAATTGAGCTGACCTTGCTTTAGGCCCCAGTCCTGCTATTGGTTCTTCATATATGGAGTGAAGTGGCAGCTGTGAGGCTTTTTTCCTTGTAGTGGTCCTTTTATAGAGTGTCCTGTGGTATCAGGCTTCTGGTATTTATTACAACTGATCTGTTGGTGAGGATTGGTAGTAGTTTCCTTTTCCTTTCTGGGTTACGCCTGAATTAAAGACTACCAAGTTTGTTTTGTTTAGTGAGCATTATTAGTTTATCTTATTATATATTGTATTTTTTTGCATGTGTGATGGGTTTAATTAGATTACTGAAGTGGTTTTGATTTAATTAACCTTCAAAAACCCCTGTATTAGGCTATAGCATTGTTTCTTGGGCTGAATGGTATTAAACTCATCCTAATTTAGGAGATAGGATGACTGAGTAGATGATAAACAATTGGAACTTGTTAGCTCTTGATTGCTTCTAGTTGAAATATAGTCTAGCTTAGTGGTGGGGAGTTCATGTAAAATAATTGAAGGACTTGGCCTGATTCTAGCTAGCCAAAATAACCCCTTTTATTTATATTAACTGAGATCTGTGATCATATTTTCAGTAAAGAGCTGCTGAAGTGCTTTTATATCTAATTTCCCCTTCATTTTTTAATTTGAACCCTCCCAGTAAGGTGAACTAGCATTGCTGAAGCTGGAAGTGTTTCATTTGTTAGTAAGAGTTTGTACATATCTTAATAGTAGCCCTTATCCTTATTTTAGAATTTTGAAAACTTAAAAATTAAAAGCTTGGAAATCAATGTAGATTATACTGAAAGGAGATAGGGTTTTGAAAACAAAACATATGTTTAAGTTAACTTCTGGAATACTGGATTTTCATATTACTTTCCAGTTACAGTATAATTTCAGTGTTACTCTGTCATGAAGAACACAACAATTCCTGCTCTAAAAATATTTCAAATGGGAGGCTATAGCAACATGTCCCTTTGATAGCCCTGAAGTATTATGAGCTGAAGAAGGTCTGATGTTAGTTCTTTGTTATTAGAAGGGAAGTGAATAGCAAGTTTTTGTTAAATTGGGCACGGTTCTGTTCAGATGACCTGATTGCTTAGTTTGATACGACCATGACTGTTTGCATTTCCAGTGAAATGAGTAGCATTATTTAGCTGGAAATGAATAATCTGTGATGTATTGGGAGAAGCAAATAGTGGTAGGATTGAGAGCCAGGGTCTGTATTGGCATATATAGTATAATGCAGTTTAGATAATAAGGTGATCATTGTTCTAAAATAAGTAAAAAGGAAAAAAAAAAAGATTAAGTCATACTGCACTTGTTGTGCAAAACATTCAGCTGTGTGAGAGCAATGCCAGCCTGAACAGCGTGTGGCCTCCAAGCAACACCACCACCCAGCCCTCTGGCAGGGCACACGGTTGTTTTGGTACATACGCAATGCTTATGCTGAGCAGGGGATCCATCCTGAGAGGTGACAGATACCACCTGGCTGCATGCAGTTCTTGTATTACTAGGACTTTGCCAGCTACCCTTGGGTTCCCAAAGTGTTTCACAAGCTGCATGCAGTAAAATCTGTGTGTACCTAGCAAATGGATTTTTTTTTATTACCTAACTTTTTGAAACAAGTTTTACCTCTGTAGTCTCTCTAGAATGATGTAAGTGTAGTTTGCTGCAAATTAGGTCAGATCTTTCCAACTAACTCTGCTTTTTTTCCCCCTCTCTCCTCCAAATTGTGGTAGGTGGTTCTTTTTCTAATACATGCATATGTTTTTATAAATTTTATACTTGTGGCATAGAATGACTTAGGTATTACATGCAATAAATTTTCCTGTATTCTTTCAAATTTTTGGATTCTGGGTTATATAGATCTGACAGCTATCTTACAAGCCTCAAAATAACATATGAATAATTCTCCCTGCAGGATATATTACAATTATTTGCAAAATTTGTTTGGGAAACTTTTATTTGCAGCTACGTGACTCAATCATACCTATCCTGTCAGCCAGGAGGATGAGTGCAAAACTGATATGAAGATAATCTGAAACTTGCCTTCCATCAAAGAAAAGTAATTGGGCAGAAATGGCTCAGTAATTGTACCCAAAACTATCAGATGTACAGTAAAATTCTATTCTCCATCTTATCAGGCAGTATTGCAGTTGTGCCTTCTTCAGGTAACAGCCTTCTCCATCTCTGAGATGCTCCCGTCTCATGTTGGAAGCCTTTAATCCCTCAGCTGGAATTGTCCTTCACTCCATCCGTTTAATCTGGGCCAGCAGCCTGACCAAGTGGGATCTTCTGCCTTAAAGGATCCATGTGCTTATGCACGGTGTAACTTCTTTTTACCATTCAGTATGACTTGTATGTCACAAGCTCTGACAGAATCCACGTGCTTTTTAGGAATAACAGCTCAGACAGGAGTCCCAAGTTTTAAAATGGATGTAAGGAGGAAGTTTACCTCAATTTGGATGCTTTGTATAAACTTCTCTGTGTGTGTCAATAAATATGTTCATATGGAGCCAAAATACCATATTTGTTTTTCTGTTTATATTATGCTGAGTTTTATTGGTTAAAGACAATTTAAACTTTACCATAAACAAAAGAAAAATGATTATGATTTTAATTTGTTTCGTGCCATTAAACTTTGTGCCACATAAATTAATGTTAAATTAAATGTGCCTTACATTTCTCTAGTCTTGAAAAATTGTGTTGACATGGCATAACTGATGAGAACAAAATAGAATTAATGCAAGAAGTCTGACCTTCAGCAAATACTAGCCCCTTGGAACTTGAGAAGGTGTTTGCACTTCAGTTGGCTGTAGGTGTCCACGAAGTGAAGTTTCAAACTGCTGGTTGCGTGATTGCTTAAAACAATTAATAGCTTGAAAACCATAGGCATTTGACTTTGATAGTATTGCTTCCATTACTGGAAAGAGTAGCACTGTCTCTGTCACATACGTGCTCATGAAGTCTAATAATAGTCAACAGCATAAGTAGAACTAGAAATGATGTTGTAAGTCTTTGTTTTCCATGGCTATTCAAACAAAGTAATAAAAAAAAAAAGTTGGATTGCAGTGTTTAGTAGGATAAAGGATACTGCTGTCTCTAGAGATCTCGTGAATGCTGACATGCTGTCATAACAGATCAGTCTTGTTGAGGATGTTTTGAAAGGTTGTAAGTGGACTTTGTTTTCGAGGCTA